TCTGATGGCCTGTTGCCATCCATCCACTTGATGTAAATTTTGTATTTTGTATTTTTTTGTATTTTGTGTTTTTAATGCCTCTCTCGTATGCCCATAGATGGGCGGGTCGGGGACATACAATAAATACAGAAAAGTTCTTTTTGTTGAGATTATATATTTTTTGTAAACTCAAAACTTCAGGAGAGGGATTACATGGGCCCTTGGCTTCATCACTGAGTAGAAACAAATATAGCCCATGTTTAAAAAAAAGTAGTGTAGAGCTTTATTCTGTAATAATTCCAGGTAATGTTTGCGCACTGACTTATTTAGAGACTTTAAAAACAAACACACTTCAAAGAACCTTTCTTTCTTTCTTTAACTTTTATGTATTCAAAGAACCTTTATGTATTTATTTATGTATTATGTAACTTTTATGTATTCTTCCTAAAAATGAATTTTTCATATTAAGCGATTCATATCAGATTGAATCAACTTAAGTAAAAACATTAGAAAAGAAATAAGTTCCGGTTGCTCCGGAAGTTTATGCGGACCATTACGAAAATAAGCGAAAATAAGCTCCGCCTACAGATAAGGTCCTAACTAACTTATATTGATGAGCAAAAGGATCCGAACTTTATTATTATGAATTTAGATATTTTATTATTATGGATATCATAAAGTCGCAAGCAACCATAGAAATGCAACTGAAATTCAATTAAAAATACTTTTATTTCACACAATTATTTAATACTTTTATTTTACACTATGATCAAGAGGAATGTGCTATCATCATCATCATCCTTATTCGCGTATTTTTAATCTTTTTTTTTCCTTCCCCTTTATAACATATTATTGATAACTTAAACCATTTAAAAGAATTTTTTTTTTTAAAATTTTGAATGAAATTGTATAAAATAAACTTCTCAGTTCAGATAAGCATGAATCAACACATTCATATTATTCAGAAGTTATAAATGACTATTATTGTGCTGCCATCTGCCGATGATAAAGAAGAATCGCCGTCGGTGATAAGATTATAAAGATAAAATTTTTTTTAAAGAAAAATGTCATTATCGGAACAAATATTCCGAAACTTTAAAATTTAAAAAAATCATGCCTTTAAAAGTTTAATTATTTAGATAATTGTACATGGAAACATATCAGTTGTATAAATGCCCATAAAGTAGTCAGGCTATATATTAAAAATTATAACTAAAGACGGGCATTTTAATTTCATATAGTTTTAAGTAAAAAATCTCTTCCAAATGATCCTATTTTTTCCAAATATTCAACAGATTATTTTATGTTCATAAAATTCTAAATTTCCTGATTTGCAAAGTTATGGATGGTGTTTTCAATAGAAATGTAAACAATAACAATCTCGAGCTCGGCACCTACTCTAGTTCCGGTTAAAAAGTTTGCAGCTGCTTACTACATGTTATTCTGATAGGCGATGTTTTCAAACGGATAATTTTGTTTTCAATAAAAGAAATAAATTAGATAATTTCTGAGCTCAAATCTGCCATATTTCATAAGATATTAATGTTAATATGTAATTCTGGTGAGTTTGAAGTGAAAATTTGTTTTAGTTTTTTAGAGATATATTGTTAAAAAAGGTGACATGGTTGCTAGATTTTGAATAACTCGCTTTTTTGGCAGTCTTGATATGACCTCTTTCCATAAGTTTATTACTGTTTGTTCTTGTTGCAAGCTGTGCACCATCTTACGTTAGGGTTAGCACTTTTAGCATTGTAAACACCAGTATTGTTAGCATTATAAACACAAGTAATAAGTAATCAAATACATTGTTTGCAAGAATCTCAAAACACAATGATGCCAAATGGCTTTAAAATATAACGGAAACAGTAACCCGGAAATTTCGGCGGTACCGAGCTTGCAGCGTTCCCTAGTATAGAAAACACCATCCATTTGATGCAGATTATTGTGTAGTTTAAATATTACCTCGGATCAAAATTCGCATTGATTACATAATATTTATTTCAGCACAATTTCTAATATATATTTAAAATAATGTATATGTTTTTAATTTAATTAATAGCTTTATTTTATAGATTTAAAAAATTTTAAATTCTTTTCGTTATCTTCATATCTAAATATTACACATTATTTTGCCAGTTCATCTCTAAACTATGAATGGTGTTTTCAGCAGAAATGTAAACAATAACAATCTCGAGCTGTATGCCTGCTCTAGCTCCGGTTAGAAAGTTTGCAGCTGCTTACTGCATGTTATTCTGCGAGGCGATATATTCAAACGGATAACTTTGTTTTCAATAAAAGAAATAAATTAGATAATTTCTGAGCTCAAATCTGTAGTATTTCATAAGATATTAATGTTATTATGTAATTATGGTGAGTTTGAAGAGAAAATTTGTTTTAGTTATTTAGAGATATATTGTTAAAAAAAGGTGACATGTTTGCTAGATTTTGAATATCTCGCTTTTTTGGCAGTCTTATTTGGCCTCTTTCCATTTGTTTATTACTGTTTGTTCGTGTTGCAAGCTGTGCACTATCTTACGTTAGTGTTAGCTCATTGTTCGAGGAGGTTTAGTAATAAGTATTCAAATGCCACGTTTTCAAGAATCTTAAAACACAATGATCACGTTGTGAGCCAAATGGCGTTAAAATACACCGGAAATAGTAACCAGAAAGTATAAGCGGCATACAGCTTGCAGCGCTCCCTAGTGTCAAAAACACCATCCATTCTTATTTTTGGGTAAGATCTATCATCTCGATAGATATTATCAAAATGTAAAAACATTTAATGAATTATATTCTTTTTTAAATTTTGCATTTCTTTCAAGTATCGATTGTTTTTTTTTCTTTTAAAAAAATAAATAAAAGTTAGTTAACTAATTTAGAATCTTCTTACGTACACTATTCATTTGAATTATTGTAGCTGCAATCTTTATTATCCACGAATTTTTTTTTTCGAGTGAAAAATTATTTAAGTGTTGTAACGACTGCTAATAATAATTTGAGAAATTTATAAAGTATCTTCTATTGAAGATATTAACTCAGGAAAATGTAATTTTCATTTTATTAATAAGCATTTATTTTACATAAATTAATTATAGTTACATCTAGTAAAAAAATTTACCTCATTGAGCATAAAAAAAGCAAGCATGTAGTAAAATAATTGATCTCATTGGACATAAAATAAGCAACCGAACATAAAAGGCGCTATTTAATTTTGACTTTATTAATAAGCACTTATTTGAAATAAATTAATTATAGCTACATCTATTAAAAAAATTGATTTTATTAAACATCAAAAAAAGTAACTGAACATAGAAAGTGTTATTTAATTTTCATTTTATTAATAAGCACTTATTTGATATAAATTAATTATAGTTACATCTAGTAAAAACAATTGAGTTCATTGAACATTAAAAAAAGCAAGCGAACATCAAAAGTGTTATTTAATTTTCATTTAATTAATATATTTTTATTTTATTAATATTATGGCATGCTATATTTTTTTGAAGGCAAGGCTAAGATATAAATTAATTATAGTTGCATCAAGTGAAAAAATTGACCTCACTGAACATAAGCAACCGAACATCAAAAGTGTTATTTTTGAAAACATAAATAAATAAAAAATCTCCGTCTTCGTATCCGCGGTTGCTCAAACCGGGGAAATCTTCAGGTTAAAAATACAAAAAAAGAATCGAAATTCAAAACAATTAAAATTTGAAACAAAAAAGAGCAGAAATATAAGAAATACCGACGAAGAAAACGAAGTAAATGAACAAACACTCGTTCATTGCGCATGCGCGGTTACTCTAACCGGGAATATCTTCAGGTTAAAGTTACTTAACTTTGGGTTAGAGTAACTCGCAGTTACGTACACAGTGAAATGAAATTTTGGACTCTAACCTAGAGTTGCTCTCATAAAACCTGTTTTGAACTCTGACCGGGGGTTAGGGTCAATGGTGAATACGGGCGTGAGTCTCAGATTTAAGTTTTGAGAAACTAAAGATTTTCAAAGAAACTGACACTTCATATTTTGCAACTCCATGAGATCGCTGGGAAAAGTTACATTTGTATCATACTTAGCCACTCTATGTGCAGAATGGAGTGTGCACCTCAAATAGAAAAATGTAGTGGAAACTTAATTCATTATTATTCAGTTGCTTATTTTAAATATTCATTCCATCAATATCAATGGCATGGGTTAAAAATGAATATCTTTCAAGCAATTATTTTCAATAATTGATTTTATTTTATAACCATCGTTGAACAGCTGACCCAATTATTTGGGTTTATGACTACTAATGTTCAACTCTGTAGCCTTGTAATTTTGAACCCAATCCAAATGATAAGGGAACTCCTGGATCAAGTATTCGAAGAAACTTGCCTTTGTGGAAGACTTTTTGATGGAACTAACCCTCGTTACATTGAGAGGAAAACCTAGTATACCAGATGACAAGGGGACTCTTACCCATGATCCGTCTACCACTGAGTATACTTTACGTCAGCAATGTGGTTGGTGCAAGCCGGATGCGAAATTCGTATCGATCAGCCATCGCTCGATTTCGAATCCGGTTCACCTCTTAGTAATTAATTAAAAGAATTCAATAAGAATAATTTGCTCCCTTTTGATTAATATCTTTTTATTGGTTGCCACTTTTGATATTTTTAGGCCTCACGTTTCATCACTCTTATTTATTTTTTTAAAAAATTAGCAGAATTCCAAATTAATTTCGTTTGGGGTTAAAAATTTAGATTCTTGCTTAGACATTGAAAAGTACATTTAGTGCGACATTATTGTTTAATCACGCAATTATAGCTATGTCCATTTTCTTGAAAACGCTGTTTAAGCCGTGTCCATTTTTGTAAAGCACGACTTTAAAGCAAGGTCCACTTCTTTAAACACGCATTTTTTTATGTCTAAAATAAAAAAAAAATCACGGGCAATTTATTTATTCATGGCATTCTGAGTATTATTAACTTTATTTAATTTTAAATCAAAGTATTTTACTGAGATCAAAAACTCTTACCTCTTCTTCTTCTTCTAACTTAAACTTATTTGATTTCACAGTTTTCAAATTGACCCGAAAATCAACTTCCGATGTTTTGGCAATCATTTTAAGTTTTTCAAACCTGCAAAGAAATATTATGAGTTTCTAATATTAGATGAATTGATGACATTCCAATTAACCCTGAAGTTTATGGTTAAGAAAATTTTTCCACCTTTATATGTTTGAAAATGTTTATTGCTGGTAAGCGGTTAGGTTAAAAGCGGAGTTACATTGAAGATAGGCTATGATAGGTTTTTTATTAGGCAATGGACACTGGAGTTAAGTTGAAGTTGAATTGTGTTTTGTCAAGTGAACTAGAATGTGACTTACTTAGTTTATCTAGAGGTACCATCTATCGTGAGAGATGGGGAAATACTAGACTTTTTTTGTGATTTCTGGACGATAATCTTGAAATTGTCTTACAATTATAGTGTTTTAGTGCTAAAGATATCTTATTAATGAAAATTTTAAATGTTCCAAAAATTAAAAATGTTTCAAATGTTCAAAAATTTTAAAAGAATGGTTAAGGGCATTATAATGACAAACTAATCACTTTCAAACTGTTCACAAGAGCATTTTCGATGAAAAACATCACTGTTTCAGTTTATTAGGCTGTTATATGATGGATATTCATGAAAATTAAAGTATCTATTGCGACAAGATACTTTGGAACAGTTTGAGGTATTATTTTCCCTTATCATTACATTGTCCTTCAATTATATAATAGTTTTACTCACTTTCCTTCATACTTTGACACCTTTCTTAAATTAGGTTTCACGCTGCAAGAAACGAGTTTGGATATTAAATAACTTTATGCTTGATTAATAATTTTAATTTACTTACAAGTTGATATACTTACAATTTTCCTCGTAAATCATTTACTTGAATGGTCAATTCATTAATCTAAGTGAAGAAAAGAAGAATAAATTAAATTGCATAGATATTTGATACATTAAGTTGAGCCACTTTTTGTAGCTCACTATTTGAAGCATATTTTAGTTTCATCAAATAAATATACTTAATTATTTTTTTTATTGAAATGCTTAGTTATTTTTTTACAATCATCATTATTTAAAATACAAATTAAGCATTAAACAAAGTTTTTTAATCAATTAATACATCTAGCGTATACATCGCACCATGCATATATAAAGCAAAACAATGTGGATAAATTAAGGAAAAACACAAAAATAGCGATAACTCCCCATTTATAAGTCGATCCAATGAGACTTGAATACATTGTAAAATAAGAGTTGCTAAGTAAAATTGCGAAATTTAAATTAGTTGCTCTGCAATCTAAATGCGCCAATTGCACAAGGAGCATAATATTGTATGTTTGAAAGCACCTGCGAATTTTGCTGTGATTCTGAATTTAGAACTCTGCAATATTCAATATATAACAATGACCTCCAGGCATCATTTGTCTGAGGAACTACGATGGAGATTTATAGTGAGACTAGAGGCAGGATAAAGTCAGATACTTAAGTACGTACTTTATTTACGTCGTACTAGAGCTGCACAATGGGCTATTTGCGACGGTCTGGGAAACATCCCTGTGGATGATCCGAAGACATGCCATCACAATTTTGATCCTCTGCAGAGGGGATGGCTAACCTGTTTCGGTAGCCCAACAACCTGCGCTCGAAGTCGGACACTTTGTGGTAGAATAGTTTAAAGAGGACCGATACCGCGCATCCTCGGTCCCTACGCATACTGATCAAAGTGGTTACCCACGTGCTTACTGACCGCAGCCAGTGATGCTTGACTTCGTTGTTCTACTAGGAACCGCGTCTTTGCGATCAGTCCACTGCGGGACGAAGCCAGATAGAAATTACCAGATAGCTTAATGCAAATACCATTGTACTTCATAGATTTTGGGCATTAATTTCTAACTTAAGGTTTGACATCCAGGAGGTTTAGCCAAAGTCTGCCAAAGGCTACGCTAAGCGGCGATGACCATTTGTGATGGGAGTGGCAACATGTCCACTGAACGGTTGATTTGCAATCTTAACGCTCGAATACTGTTTGTCTTAGATAGGTACTCCACCCGCCACAAAGTCTGCGGCAGTCTGGTGCTATGGAAACAAGAAGAGGGCATTTTAGGGAGGGTAGCTTCGATGATAGCTTGTATGGGAAGTATACCAGATTGGCTGACTCAGCCACCAGTATGAGACTTATTTAATCTGATTCAAAAACTTTTTTAAGATTCACATGGATATTTCTTTCTTACTTAAAATGATTCTCTTTACTCAATCGGTTGATATTTTTTAAATACTAAGGGCAAATGAGTGAGCAATGATGTGAGCAAATTCTGACATTAATGGTAGTGCAGGTTTTTTAATGCTACTTTTTAATTTTACGATATTTAGTATGAATGTTTCATTGTTAGATGGTTTAATTTCTAAACTTGCACATTTTTTAAAGCAGTTAATTTCTTTTATTATTTGAATTTTTTGGAGAAAGTGAAGCGCTTAAACTTATTAACTCTGATTTTAAGAGGAGATAAAACTTTTGCAGAAAATAGAAATGTGCCGGAGAAATATTAAATATTATTTATTTATTATTTATTTATTATGCTTTTATTATTTATTTTTTTACTTTTTTTTGAAACTGAAAGCAAGTTACCGCAACTAGGATGAAAACTGAATCTGTCAACGATGATTTTTATCAGCACCCATCAAACCATCTGAAATTATCTAAGTTTTTTTTGCTTAAATTACGTTTCCTTACTCGTATTTAATGCAAACTGTACAGTTTTTCTCACTACTTTATTAAAAAAATAATTCCAACAGTTTTTTATTAGCAAATTTTTTTCTTCGTTTTTCTTAATAACCAATTTACTATGTATGATAAATTTTTAGATGAGTTATTTATTAATGAAACATTGAACTGCTTTTATACAATTTCCATACATATCCTATTTATCAATCATTATTCATAGAAATAACAATTTCAATTTGTCATTGTATTTGGACAAATAGTATGGATGAAAATCAGAAGAGAGCTGAAACATAAAAAGGAACAACTTAATCAAGTTATAAAATTTAATTATGACTAATAATTTATGGTATTTTTGTGTCCGTTTTTGTTTGTTAGGATGTTGATTAACTGTGTAAAATTTAGGTTTTGCACGTAATTATTAATACGATTGCCGTGCTTACAGCAGCCATTTTTTCGAAACTATTCATTTTATAAAAATAACTTGGGATTTTTTTTAAAAAAATGAGCTTAAAAAAATTCTTAAAATTTTAGAGAATGTAATGAGCTCTTTTATTCTAAATTAATTATGATAAACTAGTTTATTAAATTTATATTTTATCTTCACGGTGAAAATGTTACACAAAATATCATTTAACATTGTTTTTAAAAGTTACTTTATTAAAAAAAAAATTTAACTTCTTTCTTTTTTTTTTAAAAAAAAATGCCATTTCAGTTTTTTTTTTTATATATATATAATAGTTAAGAGAAGATTCATGTGACTGTGTGAGGAAAAATCTATAAAAATTTGCTTTTTAATGAGTTATTGCGTATAGATTTTTCTAAAATTTCACCTTTTTTAAATTTAAAAGGCATTTCTCAAAATTCAAAAAAGTTAAAAGAGGAAAAATAAAAAAATTACTAAACAAATACATTTGTTGAAAGTTTTTTTTTTTTTTTAACGGAAGCTTTCAAAAAAGAGAAAAGATTGAAAAAAAAAAGGATTCGAAAGCTCTAAACGATGTTTCAGGAGCGAATGCTCATTTATCTTCACTCTAGGGCTATAACACAATAGACCGAAGAAAGAGGTCTCCTTTTCTCTGGCCGAAACCAGTCCTAAAGAGGGACCCCGCACCCCTACTTGAAATAATCATACCTCGTTACCATAGTCACCACCACAGCTCCAGACGAACGTCTGGCAGAGTACCTATCTTAGACAAAGAGTACGTCATCTGGGGAGGGTTCCATGTCTTGATCCTCCTCCTCTTCTTAGTTGCATAGGAATGTACAACGATATCTTCCCTCTCCTTAATATTTTTCGTATTTACTTGACAAAAATATTTTTTTAAATTTCCACAACGTTTTCTTTTAGAACTATTTTCAATGTAGTTTTCAGTTCCATATAGTTTCTTAACTCTTAATCTAGTTAAAAATCAACTGCCGTACTTCCTTCTCCCATGACTCTCCGCACTAATGCATGCGAAATGTTGCCATAAGTAGAGAGTTCTGCTCTACGCCACCTATAGCCCATTTCGATCGGCAATAATTGCAGTAATGTTTTTGTTACAGATGAGTCAAGGTTTAACCTTCAAAGCTACAGTAGGATTTATTTATATGTAGAGAGAACCTAGAGCTCGTTATCATCCATCAAATATACGTAAGAGAGTAGCATACCCATGATGTCATGTCTCTGTTAGGTGTTATCTTTTTGGGTGGAGGTACAGGTATGCTTGTCTTTCCACTTGGAACCGTGAATGCTCTAGTCTGTAGAGAGGACATGCTTGATATTAAGGCTGTTTTTCGAGGCTCCGTCGAAGTAAGAAATGATGGTTTTATGAGAATAATATGCTATTTTTATAGCTGTTGTTAGTTTGTAAATGTTACTTATGACTGTTAGGTCAAATGTAGCCAATCTGAAGCCAGCGCTGTTACGCTTATTTCGAAAATGGCGCAAAACGTCAATCTGGAGAAAATCCACAGTTTAGTGAAAATGAAAAGTGTTTGTGGTCTAATTTTTAAGTATTTAAAAACTTACTCCAATGCAGCATTACTTGGGCTCATAAAAATTTGAAAAAACTGAGGTAAAGATTTTGATAATTTTCTAGGTGGAAAAATGTCACCAAATTAGCAATTTTTAAGAAAGTCTTGTAAATTTTGAAATATTCAGGTTGTGTCTCCGTTCTAAAGCCCAGATGATTCTTTACGTCAAGATTATACATATAGTTTAAAGTCATCGCATTGCTTCAAGTGTAAAGATCTTAAACTATGGTGTTTTTATTTTCTTTGACGACAGATCTTCGCAAAACAGTGCTAATGCGCATCCTTTTGTTAGATTAATAAGGGTTGATTTTGTGCTATAGAACACTACGCCACACAAGGCTTGCATCGTGGATCTTCAGCAGCAAATAATACAGACAATAGAGTGGCCATCTCGATCACCGGATTAGAATTCGATTGATTATGTTTGAGATGTTTTAGGAAGATGTATACAGTCACTATCCTCTTTCTCAAACATTTGCAAAGCTTGCAACTGCTTTGCAAAAACAATGGCTCTCACTTCCTACAGAACTGGTAGACTACATAATTCTAAACATCACACATCGCCGCATGTACTGGATGGTTTCTAGAGATGATTATGCTCCATACTGAGGGTACTTTTCCTATTCCAAACTATCACATCTGATTTTTTTGTTTTATACATATGATAATTTCTGTAACACCATAGTTATCTGATCAATACTTTTCATGTTAGTTTTACATTCGTGTGCTATGTGTCAGTTTCAGTATTTTTGTGATTTTTACTAAATTTATGATAACCAGTTTATATGCAAGAGCATTTCCTTCTGTCTAAACACTAAATGGTGAACACTGTGGAAAGTTCTTGTTCATAGAACAGAAATTATAGTATATTCATTTCTTTTCCTTTATTTTTGCTTTATTCACGTCTTTGTGTATCTATAAATGCATAATTAAATCGATGGTCGAGACACTGAGCTTTCGGAAGCCGCTCCAAGCTGTTATGTCCATGCCGTTTGAAAACCGATTTTCATCTTAAGAAAAGCGTGGAGATATTTCCCCCCCTTCTTTTTCTGTTATAAATAAACCACTTTGGGTAGAATTGAAATGTTTTGAAAAGGAAATTTTTATTTTAATGCAAACTACTTTCCAATGCTACATCGACTATACTTTTTTCAGTCTCTTTTTTATTTTAATGCAAAATACTTTCCAATGCTACATCGACTATACTTTTTTCAGTCTCTTTTTTTTCTCAAAATTAAAAATCTATATAAAATATATATTTCGAAATTAATCGAGAGTTTGATTGATCCATTTTTAGCATAAAGATCAAACCGCATTCAGTAGAAATGGTCCTTAAGTTTAATCATGAAATTTATTATTCTTTAAAAATTCAATTTTCAGTTCAATTTTCTGATGAAAAATATTTAAAATATTGATGAAAAATTGAATAAAAAATAATTAAATAAAAATAAACTAAATAAAAATAAATTAAACAAAAATAAATTAAATGAAAATAAATTAAATGAAAGTAAATTAAATAAAAATTAATTAAATAAAAATAAATTAAATAAAAATAAATTAAATAAAAATAAATTAAATAAAAATAAATGTATAGAAACAAATTAGATAAAAAATAATGACGTCCAGGGAAAATTATAAATTGAATCAATCAAAAAATTAAATATTAAACGATTAACTACCATTAACCGTTAAACGATAAAAATATAAAAGTTGAAGAAATTTATAAGGGGTAGTGGAACTAGTCCGTTGTTTCTACTGAAGCCTTTATTGTTATAGTTTCGAATGATATTTGGGCAAGTCAAGCTCACCAGATTTTGGCTTTGCGATTTAACATAGTTGGCACTGGAGTTTTGAAAGTGCTGAAGTGTATGAACAGTTCTGAAGCGTAGGAAAATCAGGAAGGAACGCCTTTCGTTTGACAAGAGAGCACCGCTAAGGTGAAAGTGTGACTTAGCTAAGAAGTCGCCCCAAAATAGATGGCAGCACCACTCATTCGTAAAGCCACTTGGCCAATTTAGACATAGATCTAAAGGTAAATATCCAAATCCCTGTGCTACTCAGCAGTCGACTACAGGATTCCGAGCACGTATATCGCATGTGTTCAGTGGATCTGAGCGTCTTCGAGAATCGGCCCTTCAGCAGCGAACTTCTTATTACTGGACTAAAACGGTCCCGAAGTCTCCGTTGGTCTTCACTTTAAATACTTCCAAGTATTTTATAAAATAAAACAATGCACGCTTTTACCATAAAAATTCATAGACCCATTCAAATGATTTTTATTTTAAAAACAACCAAATATTTTATAAAACAAGGCAATGCACATCATTAGAGTTCCATGAAAATTCCCACTCACAACTTGGAATAAAAATAAATAAATTTAGTAATTATACATACCATGAAATCCTTTTGCCCTACTTCATATTCTAAATCAAATTTAGTATCTTCCAAATGAACTATTCTTTTGTAATATTCTTTGCAGATAGCTTGAAGAGTAGCTAGTGATATAAAATATTGTTAATAATGGTATCTAAAATAACGATTTATAAACTAACGTCTTTCTCTAAACGGATATTTATGAATGTTTTCTGTTGCATGAGTCATTTTTACAGATCTTCGATACTTTCGTAATGCTGATTTCAAATCTTCAATCAATTTCCAAGAAACACTTTTTTTTAAAAGGACATTTTTAGTCCATTTTTGTCGAAATGTACACGTTTAAAAATGTTATATGTTACAGGGAGTCGTGTAAATGTTGCTATAAACTTCTAACGGAGCAGGGGCACATCATCAGGATTAAAATTGTACAGGAACTAATACCTGGTAATGTCATCCTACGCCACTAGGAGCTCTTCCTTTTCCTAAATTGTTTCTTCCCGTGCATCTGAACAGTTCATAATAGGGTTCCTAGCCGCGTACGATGACATTTCTGGACATGGATTTCTACGCAATTTTAATCCTGCTGATGTGCTCTAGTTTCTCTAGAAGTCAGGCATGATTGACTCCACCCCTTGTTTTATATAACGCTTTTAAACGTGTACATTTCATCAAAAATAGTCTAAAAATGTCATTTAAAAAAATCTGTAGCCTTAGGAGCAGAACTTTCAGATTTAAAATACTCATACCCGAATTAGGCAAGATCAACAAAAAATTTGTTTTCCAGTGTAATATTATAATATGTTTCTGAATATCAGCCAAAATTTTTTGGGAAAAGTTTCGAAAGCTAGAGAGGGGGAACAGTTTATAATCAGATTCACAAAATTTCACGCGAACATTGCCAACAAAAATACTTTTCGGTTCGTCCAGTTAAGCGATTGATTTTAAGAGTGGTGAAACATAAAATCACACAAAACAATAGTTGAAAATATAACACCCAAAAGTAACAATTAAAAAGGAAGCACATAAAAATGAGAAAGGAATTTTTATTATTTCTTTATTTGATAAGATTTTATTCATAAAGCAGCAAACGACTAGAACAGCAAACGAACAGAAAAAGTTCAGAATTCAGCTAGCTCTTGTTGTTAGCATCTGTTTTATTATTTTGGTTTTGTATTTTGCTAAGTTGAATTGCTAATCAGGACTGAAAGAAGAAGAGTAAATTAGGAAGGAAAGGAATTTCAATGGGTCTGAATAAGGAATTAATTAAGATGATTCAGAGTTACCCTCAAAGATAGCGTGATTTATTATTACTGTTATTACAATACGTCGGCTTATACACCGTAAATCTTTAACCAGTATTTGGTGCAAAGTTTCTTATTATCCCAAAGTTTAGTTAAATAAAAGATCATTTTATTTCAGTTACACGATAAATTGTGAAGTATGATCGAGAAATACTTCCACGGTGCAACTGATTCTACCAAAATTTTGTAAAAGACACAAAACTTTGACGGTGACTGAACGATATTTGTTTACGACGCCATGTTTTCTTCAGAACTCGGTCTCGGTGCATCGGGACGACTAAATGCTATGTTGTTTCAAGTATCAACTTACTTAGGTAGGTAAACGTTTTATTTGCATCAATTAAAGTTCATTTCTTTTAAGTTGCCTTTTTAAATTTGGTTTGCGGTATAAAATGGTTAGAGGCATGTCATAAAATAACCTACTTTCGATAAATAGTTTTGTTACGGCAAATAGCAACCTTGGATTGCATTTGAGTGCTTTAAAAATACTTATTAATGGTAAAACTTTCCTCTGCTTTTATAAAAGAAAAAAAAAGATCCGTGATTCTTCTAAACACCTAGTTTCGGTGCAACTTTCTACTGATATTTAGAGCTAGTGAAAATACCAAAATATGGTAAAAATGAGCTCGATTTTATGCAGCCAGCAAATGAATACCAACTTTTGGTGCAACGTGGCTCGGAATTTTTAACAGCGTTTTGAATTTTGGATAAATTTCCAAAGAAAAATCGCACCCTCGGTTTACACATGGATCGGCTTACATTTGGAAATTTAAGGTATTTCTGAAATTAGTTGTAAAAGACACCTAATGTCTCAATTATTTCATCAAATTTATTTATTTTTATTGTGTCTATCTCCATTTAAGTCGTTATTTTGATTGTATAAAGCAAAACTGTCATGAAAAGTTTGTTGCTAGCAGAAAACATATTCTATAATTAGTGATAAAATGGAACACTGAGCATTATGTATGTAGTGTATATCTACCACTATAAAAATATAATTCCAATTCCCTAGTACATAAGACATGCTAACTCGATTCTAAGTTGGGGTACCTTTTTATAGACGACGGTTGACATGGTCGAATTCTTCTCTCCCCACATTGGTGACCCGGCCTGTATACACTCGACTGATAAAAACAACACAGAAGCGACCATGATCGTAAACTTAATATAGCTCTCACAATCAGCACTCAAAAAGTACGGTGATCTTAATACAGCAGCAACTAGAGGTTCATCGCAGATAAATTCTGGTGGGGGAGTTCTGTAGTGCATCTACCACTACATGTGTGTCATGCTATTCTTATTCACCATATCACACAATTGTTTTACTGACAGAGTCGGGTGAATTTCTAAAAATTGCATGATATGTTTAAAGATGAAAAACATTAAACCAGCAAAAGCTTCATATTTTTCATATCTTATTATACTATAAAATTAATTGAAGTTAACCAAACACTGAAGAATATCGGAAGTCTCCCATTACTGGTAAACCGAAAAGCCAATCGATACTCAGAATGTGTCAAATTTTGTTATGCCGTTTGTTTAAACATTTCAACTATACCTTACATCACTAAGGAATAAAACAAACCCTCGACGACATTTTAGCCCCAGATCAACTGTCATGTCATCGTTATTTTATACTGATCAACTTTTAGCCCTACAATTTTTTTTATCTACTTGTGATTTTAGACTTCATCGACTTTTATTCAGATTTTTACTTTTAGATACTTAGGACTTTTAGCTCTCATTGATTTTAGTTTTGAGATTTTATTTTCATCTCTTGTTTCCTTATTATTATAATCATTTAATTCTCGACATTTACATCGGCTCTTTTAGCTTTCATTGCTTTTAAAACATATTTTTAATTGTCAAAATGTTTAGTTAATTCACTTTTAACTGATCACCACCACTGTCATTTGGAAAAATTTTACTGTATTTTTAGTTTTTAGCTTAATTTTTTAACATAATAATTTAACTTTTTATCTCCTCTGGTGTGGGTCGGAGTTCTAAGGATTTTGTTGATAAATGTACCTTAGTTTTGGAAAGGATGTTATTGAATATCTGATAAGCAACAAAAGTACAACAGAACGCTTCATACACTGTAAAAAATTTTGGCGTATCTGGACACCAAAAGTGGTGGCATGTACGTTATACCAAAGTGGTGTTTCACTAAGTGTTCTAATACATCAAAATCAGGGATAGTTCTTGGTGTAGTGATAAACCTAGAATGTTCTTTTACACTACTTGATGTAAAGTACCATGTTTGTTATTCGGTAACATTAAAATTTATAATTATAGTAAGATTAAAGTTTTTTGTTTTATATTAACCATACAGAAAGAAAATGAGCTTCTAAAACTGAATGTGATGAAACTGAGAATAGATGATAAAAGCAATTTACTCAAGAGTTCCATGACATTGTTTAACAAAGAAATTATAATTCAATAGACTATCAAATAAAATAGAAATATTGTGATTATTATTAAAAGGCCCGAGGGGGTCAGACACTTAAAATAATATTTTGAAGGTTCATAAAAAAGGAAGACTTTAATGAAAGTAGTATACTTTTCTACATAATATCGTTATACAAAAGAGACAAAAATAAATTAAAAAAGAATAATAACATATGGAGCTGATTAAATTTATTCTTAAAACTTGATCTCATTTTAGTTTCCTTATTGTTATATTGATTTTAAAGTATATAAGACTAGGCATGTACCAAATGAAAGCATTAAACTCAATATTAAGCAAGTTATCATTGAAAAGTCATGAGTAAATATCATTGGAACTAATATTTGATTGGTACATGGCTTAATTAAGTTTTACGAACAACATTAAATTTTTTTATTTCTGACTTTGGACGGAACAGGAGCAGATTGGCCTATCAAATTCCTAGCAGGCATATGATTACTTTTATCACGAAAGAGTTCATATTTTAAATCTGATTAATTCATACTCATTTCTCTTCGGTTTCGAAATCATAGAAATAAGTTCTATTGAAACCTTCAGTGCAGAAAAAGGCACTGGAGCAGATTGGTCCATTAAATCCCTAGCAGGCATATGATTACTTTTATTACGAAGGAGTTCATCTTTTTATTCCGATTAATTCATCTCCTTTCTTCTTAGGTTTAGGAGTCATGGAAATCAGTTCTATTGAAACCTTGAGTGTAGAAAAAGGCCCTGGAGCAGATTGGTCCATTAAATCCCTAGCAGGCATATGATTACTTTTATCACTGAAGAGAGTTCATTTTTTGAATCTGATTAATTCATACTCTTTTTTTTTCTTAGGTTTAGGAATCATGGAAATAAGTTCCATTGAAACCTTCAGTGAAGAAGAAGGCACTGGAGCTTATTGGTCTATTAAATCCCTATCAGGCATACGATTACTTTTATCACGAAAGAGTTCATCTTTTGAATCTGATTTATTCATACTCTTAGGTTTAGGAATCATGGAAATAAGTTCCATTGAAATCTTCAGTGAAGAAGAAGCAGATATTAAATGTCTAGCAGGCAAATGATTACTTTTATCACGGAAGAGTTCATCTCTCGAATCACACCCAGGATTAGATTTTCCGCAGACAAAAAGTCAGTTTAATTAAAGACTGATTGATCAATGTGCCACAGACCAGGAAATTCTTGAACAGAATTCCGCAGCCATATACTGGTCTAGTAATTACAGGCTAACAAATTAAACTAGAACTTACATGTCAGACATAGTCTCCTGAATCGTACTGGTACGATTTAGGGTTCCACAACGGGCACAATTTTCTCAACAATGTCACGGTTTAAGCAAATCTAAGGCTCAAAAATAGTTAGCTAGCAAAGATATGTTGTTTGAGAAGTAAATGCTGCATTCAATAATCAGTATTTATTAATTTTACTTCAGATTTCCAATGATTCATTTAACGTAAGTTTTATCAACACCCGTCCAACAGACTGTATGTTAGTCTAAACAGGGTAGCTGTAATCACCCTGCTTGTAATTACTTAAAATGTATATATTTTTACGAATGTTTCATATCAAAGCACTAAAATATTCTCACTTTGCTAAATCACAAGGCGAACGGAATATCAATAACTACCCTTACACAATAAGAATCAAAGGTAATAACAAACAGTGTTATAAATAGAAGGAATCACTTTTTGGAAAACTGATTATAAGTATAATCAGTTTTTCCTAAAGATATTCCGTAAAAGAGATCGATACAAATAGGTGACCGCAGTTTAAAAGCATTTATAAGCTCGAAACTATTACATATACAGGGCTGCCAACGGTTTTTGAAAAATAGTTTATAGAGTGGCAGACAGTTAAAGCTTTCTGAATTTATTTCCTCGAGAGAACAAAGTGGTGGTAACTTTAAATATAATAAACAAAGCAATGAATCATACATAAACTTAGCTACCACTAAAGAAATTTTTCCTAAAAAACATTGGCAGCCCTGCACTTATTCTAAAAGAAAGATCAGCTTTCCTTTGTGCTGTGTAGACAAAAGCAGAAAGAAAGAAAAAAACAACTTGAAAAGCACCACAAATAATATACGGACATTACATAATTTCAGTTTTCTAAACAAGAACCTTCCTTAGTGTCTAAACATGACAAGATTTCACCAGTGTCTAAACATCACATTTGGAATTAATACTGATGGGTAGATTCATGTTTAGAGAACCGAAACTATAGTATGTCTATTTCTGAACTTTATTTGTGCTTTATTCACGTTGTTTTATTGTTTTAGCATTACACGTATAACAAATGATACACAAAATCAAGGCAGTTGGCCCTTTGTTACAAGACAAGTATCTAATCTTTTCATACTGTTCTGAATTCTACACTAATGCATTCTTGTTCAGAATTTTCAGCAGGAGTGGTTCATAAACTTTGACGTAACCCTATAAAAGGAAATCACATAGTGGGATCTCCTGTGATTAAAGATAAATTACTACTAATCACGTGCACAACCTATATGCTGTAAATGAATCATCGATGTTTAAAAAATCAATAAAAATTTAAAAATCATATTTGTGCAACATGCAGTAATTACACCAGAATTACGGTAATTTTATCAGAATTCGGGTGTATTACCGTAATTCTGGTGTAATTACGGTAATACACCAGAATTTTTTTCTCCGTGAAGGTACCAGTGACAGCGTAAATCTGCAAAATGTGTGAAATGAATTTGAATGTTTGTCGTGTAACTAAAAGATCAGGGATCAAATAATTGTAATTGAAAAAATAAACTCGATATATGTTTCTTAAATTTTGTAGATAATTTATTATTATATGTGTAGTAGTTACTGAAGCATAAATATTTAAAATTCGATCACACATTTGTATTTATGCTGTATTATAAATTTAAAATAAAATTACATATAATTACTATATTCAATGTTATTTTCCTACCCTCATTACAATTCTCTATAACTTTTGGCTGACCACATCTTTCTATTATCATTTTCTTCCTTTCTTCAGCTTTTCTCTCTTGTTCTCTTTTAAGTTCCTCCGCAGCTTTTTTCCTTAAGAGTGTCTGCAATTTCCAAAAGAGTTACAGTGGATTATTTTTAGAATAATTAGAGGACGCCAATTAATATTTAAGTGAATCAAACTCTGGTGGATAGAAATTATCGAAAACCTAGATTTCAGATCTTATCCCACATAAACTAGTTTTTGAACCTTTCTCCGATAGTATTCACCTAAGTTCGACACTGTTTTTCTCCTTTAATTAATTATTTGTGCTCTTTAATGTATATATATATTTTTAAGTTTTATTTTTTACGAAAGATTTTAAAGATATGTACATTAAGGGTGGTCATTTCAAATTGTAGGATATAGTGAAATAGATAGCTGATTGGGAGGAAAAACAGTTTACAATATTGCCCTTGAATTCTAAACTCTGTCCCAATGGTAGTGGATTGTCCCATAGCTTTTGAAAGTGGAGAAAAGTATGCATTGCTTTCAGAAACAGATATAACGAACAGAATTTAATTTCAGAATTCGGAAATCAGAAATAATATAAAAGTATAATAAATGGAATAACAAAGTGCATTCAAAAGAATTTTGATCTCACCACCTTTCTATTGTTTTTATATAACTATCCTCTTTCAATTTCTTTTGCAGGGGGGAGTTTTTTCACATTGCAGGGTAGGAGGTGGTAGTTACGAATTCTCATAATTTTGATATATATTACACAAAATGTAATGCCAGTGCAGGGATTACAGGGTAATAGCCATTATTTTAAATAAAAAAAATAATCAAAGCGAGTGGCAGGAAAATGTATACCAGGCAATAGTCCACAATCTTAAAAAAAAAAACGGTGTAAGGAATACCGAGCAAGAGTAAACCGAACAATGGACCTTTATTATAAAAAACCGTGTAAGGAATAGCATTTATTTTCTACTTTTTCTACCTTGCAAAAGAAATGTAAAAACACATTGTTTATTAAAAAATATTTTTTGTGGTATTTCATGTTTGTTTATTAATTAACAAAGGATTATCATTTTAAGACTATTTTTCCTATTATGAACCCCATCCCTATTTATAAATTAAATTACGAATAAAATGTTATAAAATCTTGAGTTCGTTTAAAAAATTTCTTTTTCCTAAAAGAATGTATTTTAAATACACGACTAAATAATTTACAAATTTTATTAATATCTTATGGTTAAATTCTAGCAAAATTCTGATCAGTTTACCCTTTGATCTTATCTTTACAAACTATTTTTACCCCTTGACCCTAAACAAATAAAAAATAGAAAAGAAGAATTCATACCCTGAGTTTTTTCTTTCTTTCTGGAGTCATAAAACCTCCTTTTTTGGATTTTTTTGCAGATTCTTCAAGTCTGCGACGGACTTCTGCCTTTTTTCTTGCCTTTTCTTCTTGCTTTTGCCTGTCCTTTAAAAAAGCATTTAGAAATAAATTTATGGACAATTCCGCAGAAATGTCAAGCTAGCATCAAAACTTCAGTGCTAACGAAACTCTGATATTATTTTAATGCTATGTATTTTACTGCTGTATACAGAGCTAAATGTTAAAATAGAAATTATTTTTCAAAACATAGCGCCTTTCAAAAATTTTGTAGGACTGCTTAGCACACAGTAATTGATATTTTTCTTAAAAACAATTTCTACTTTAAAGAATAGCGTTTTTTGTTAATACAAATTACTGAGTTTCACAAATTACAGAGCAAGATTAGGTAACATATTTCCTGCTGAAGTATATTACGAAACTTAGAAATTCAAAACAATTATCAGTTCACTGTGATAACTGTTATTCTTTTTTTTCTAGTAATATTTTGGAACTCATAGTAATGTGCTGATATTTTAGAATTCATTTTAATTTTAGAAGTATTTCTTATGGACTCAGTATCAATTTCCATATAGGTACTATTAATGTCAAAAATTTTCCAAATTTGCTAACTATTTTTTATTAGCTGTTTTGGAAATTCAATTACACCATGGATGGATCTCTTGAGACATCCAATATTTTGGTTGGACAACAATCGGTACAATTGTATAACTCGAATCCCGATAATTTAGTTTTAAATTCAAGTGGGTTTTCGATTGTTTTTCTGTCAGTAAGTAATTACACATGTTTTTTAAAATTATTTTTTTCTTTAAATCCCGATATTTTTAATGCAATATGATTTTGGCATACACCATTCACAACTATTTTATTTTAAATTTATGCGGTTTTTCAATCTTTTTTCGGGGAGTTATTGTCTACGAATTTCTCTATTTTATTTGAAACCTCAATTTTTTCTAATATTTTTGGCATGAGAACCTTTAAATCGCGTTTGTCAGTAATCACTTTTTAAAGTGCTTCGTCTATTTAATCGTAAATCCGCTTGGTTTTATCGATTGCTTTTTCAGTTTTCCTACTACAGTTCCCGCAGAGGACTGATCGTAAAGACATGGTTCCCAGTAGAACATCCGCATCACTGGCTGCGGTCAGTAAGCGGGTGGGGGACCATTTTGATCAGCCTGCGTAGGGACCGAGGGTGCGTGGTATAGTTAAACTGTTCACCAGTAAAGTGCTAGACTTCGCACAGGTCATCGGGCTGCCAATCCCCTCTGCTGAGGATCAAAATTGCCATGGCATGATCATCATTAGGGATGTTTCACAGATCATCGTCAATATCCCATTGTGCAGCTCTATTGCGACATAAATAAAGTACCTACCAAGATACCGTTTTCCATATGATTCTTTTAATCCTGATACGATAATATAGATGGCAGAATGGGCGAATATTTCAAGCGACAAACTTGTCTCACTTGCATATAATTTTTGCGACATTTGTTAATGACTTGACACCGGGTGGTTGAGTCATTAAAAGCAATGAGTTGATGTCATTGTGAAGTACTGGAGTTTGATCTTCAGTAGCAGCTCATCCAGTTTCAGATTGATGGGCTCGTTTGGGAGGTAAAAGAGGCATTGTGCGCAATTCTGACTACATGGCTGCACAGTAAAAAAACTCGGTAAATCTTTAGGTGTTTCTCATTATCCCAAAGTTAAGCTAGATCATTTTATTTTAGTTACACCATAAATTGTGAAGTATGGTGGAGAAATATTTCCATGGTGTAAATGACTGCACCAAAATATCCTAAAAGACGGTGACAGTAAATTGAGCTATATTGGTTTACGACGCTGTGTTTTCTTTACAACTCGGTGTATCAGGACGACTAATGCATGTTGATTCAACTTATTTAGGTAGGCCATATTTGATTAATTTCTTTTATGTTCAATTTGGTTTGAGGTATAAAATGGTTAGAGATATGTTACAAAAAACATACGGTAAAACTGCTTGTTACGGTTAATAGCAACCTGGGCCTGCATTTAAGCGCTTTAAAAATATCTAATAATGGTGCAACCTTCCTCTGTTTTTATAAAATAAAAAGATTAAAATAGATGTTTTGTTTCCTCAAAACACTTACTTTTGGTGCAACTTTCTATTGATATTTGGAGCTAGCGAAAATACCAAAATATGGTTAATTTGAGTTCTATTTTATGTAGTCAGCAAATGAATAGCAATTTTTGGTGCCAGGTGGCTCGGAATTTTTAACAGTATATATTCTCGGTGTTAGTCCTGAAATTGGAATACTATATCCTCCATGAGTCACCTGACTTGCTGGCGTGAACCCGACTTTTTAAAAACTCTATTGCTTTTTGAAGGGTTTAAAAACAACCATTTACTTCAACCTTTCAAAAAATTTAATTAGAATTTGTAGTCGTTTTATCCGCTTCAAAAGTTTGAATTTTGAAAATAATTTCAATAAGTTATTCATAAATTATAAGCTCCAGAAAAAAAGAGAAGAAAAAGATTTTTGGAAAATTTATGATTCTACCCCTTTTAAGGTTTCTTTGCAACCGAAAAATAAAGACAAGCTTACTAAAATGATCATCCAAATTTACTTCCTTCAGTTTATTCCAGGTTATAAACAAATGTGAACAATAAAAACTGTCATTTTTGTTTTAGAAAACTTTTTTGATTTCTGAATTTCCTTGAATAGAGTTCAAATATAACTCGATGCAAGACTCCATGTAATATCGATAAAATTTGGCTAAAATTGCGTACAAATGTTTTTAAATTTACTTTAAACTATATAAAATAAACAAGTAAGTTTTGTGTGCAACTTGTTAAATTTTCTTACAATTTTCTAACTGATATATTAACTGAAATAGACCCCTATGTAATTGAAACAAAAATTGATAAATCATAATTAAATAAAATAAAATAAATTAAAACATATAAATGAAATAAGAGATTTCTTACCTCTCTGGTAAGATGAAGAAACAAAGTAGATATGAAAAAGAAAATTTGTTGTATTTTATCAATTAGTACATAATTAATTAAATACATTATTATTAGGCAGGCTCATTTTGAATTGAAGTAATTAGTGTAACTGAATATTAAAAGAATTGGCATGTTAAGTAAATAGCTTATATATAAGTCGAAGGGAAATTGAAATATCTGGAACAACGCACCGGGCTAATTGGAAAAGTCTCCATTTTCTAATAAGACTGTTATTTTAAGGCTCATTACAATAGCCCCTATGCATTTTAGTTAATTACACACTGACTTAAAAATATAGATGCACGCAGTAGTTTCTTCTTTTGCAAAAAATAATTTAATTAAAAATATTTTATGCTATATTTAAAAGAAAGCTTTTTGCAAAAGAAATTATTTATCTAAAGAAAACAGAAATTTGCTGTTTCAAAAATATAGACACACTAAATATTTTGAAAAGAAGAAATTGTTCAAAATAAGGAATTAACCAAAGTTAGTAATTAATTATTTTCCCTTTATTTATTATAACTTCAGAGATAAGAATTTTCACTGCGAAAAAATGTTTGAAACATATTCAGGAAACAAATCATCTGAGGCATTTTCTACTGCGTTTTGTAATTCTTTTGTAGAAACCTATTATTACCTAGTTTTGAAAACTTTTTTTTCCAAGTGATTCCATTCGTTCTAATAAGTTTTAAACGTGAACAAAGTGACTTAAATATTCTGGATTAAAAATAGAATTCCGTGAATTTTAAGTGTGAATTGATCTTGATGAAAAGATCAATTAAGATGACCCAATAGGTCGTCGAGTAACGACAATCAATTATTCAAAACGTCTTTGCACATTATGAAAATCAATTTAAAATGCCTAAATGAATTTAGATATTAAATTAAATGCCATCCCAAGTCATTCACAATCTTGTTGCTTACTGAAACGTATCTTTGGTTCGTTTTTTACATTGCTCCAAGAATATTTAGGAAAAATACTTTTTTTTTCATTTCAAAAATTTCTAGATAAAACTGAGGAATAATTTTTTGTAGCATGAGATTTTTTCAACAAATCTTTGTATATTTTCACGATGATTTCAAATCTGCAATCGGTTTCTCTGCATAAGCTACCGTTTCTTTTAATCTTATTCCAAATGACATTTTCTGTCTATGTTTTTTCTGTCTATGTTTTTTCTGTCGAAATGTACAAGCTTAAAAACGTTATATATAACAGGAAATTACATAAATGCTATAACAAACTTCTAGGGGAGTTAAGGTACATAATCAGGATTGAAATTGTATAGGAACTTATGCCCAGAAAGGTCGCCATACGCCGACAGGAGTACTTCCTTATTATGAACTATTTCCTCGCTTGCAGGTCATAATAGGAAAGCGCTACTAGCCACGTTCGACGACGTTTCTGTACATGGATTTCTATAAAGTTTTAATTCAATAAATGTGCCCTAACTCTCTTAGAAGTGTACCGCAACATTTAGGCGAACCCCCGTTATATATAGCACTTATACTCTTGTATATTTCGACAAAAAAATAGACTAAAATGTCATTTCAAAGAAAAGAAGTAACTTTAGGAGCAAAACTAATTTCAGTTTGGAAATCCCCTTGCTCGAATAAGGCCAGATCAAGTATTTGTATAAATGCAACATAAAATTTTTTCCCCAGTGTAATCAATTTTTCCCCAGTGCAATAAGTTTTTCCCCAGACTGTCCATGTTGGTTTGCAGCTTATTTGAAATATATAGTTCAAAGCATATATAATAGTTTTAGCTTTAATTTTTTTACATCATTATATTCCTTTACAAATTATGAGTTTAGTGACTTGGTCGTAAAGACACATTTTTTCAGACATTTATCCATGATATGATTATTACGAATTGAAATATTTCATTCATATTCTTCTTTTTTTGTCCACTAATCACTTTTCCGTTAAACTATATCAATGCTTCTTCAAAATTTGTTTAAAATTTTAGAGACATCAACATGATGTAAACTTTACTTATTATTAGACTTACGTATATAAGCTTGTGCACTCAGAAAAAATGACCAAAATAAGAAGTAATATGTTTTCCCACTAAGATCTTCAGGTACAAATAGAATATTTTAATTTTAATAATCAACATAATCATATATGCTATCCAAATAAGCTACTTAAGTTGTTCTAATTTGATAAATTATTATGTTTGGCATCTGCTGCGCTTATTAGTTTTTTACCTAAATTATAAACGTTTTTTCATTAATCATTCTTAAGAGTGTATTAACTAGGTTAAACCCTTCTACTTGAGGGTGGTTTGACCCACTATGAAGGAAGTTTAATCCGTGGGTATTAAAATAAAATTAAAAAAACTTAAACAGCAAAAATTAAATGTTTATAGAAATATTAGAGGCATTAATTTTGTCTAAAAAAATATAAAATGTTTGTCTACAGATGAACAACAACAAATCTGAACAAGAATTCTTAAATGAATTTAATTTGAATCAGTAAATGAAGAGCCATTTTTCAGAAGACTATTTGAAGATAGTTCTATTATTCGCCTTTTGCTTGTTTCTTGGAATTTTCTTAAGAATTAAGATTTTGTAAATTTCTTTCATGCTTCTTCCTGATTTTTCATTTGTCAGTGACACCTTACAAAAACTTTGATTTATTACGATAGGCCAAACACCTCCCTTCGCAGCTATTTTGCAATATATATATATAAATATATATATATACACATATAGAACAGCTTTGACACACAGTTAGTAGTT